ACATTTACAGTCATAAAAATGGCGGATATCAGTTTATTTATTGTTTTTTATTAAATAGAATATTAAACAAAAATATATAATTTTCATTAATAAATAAAAATTTAGGACATATGAAAATCGCTGTCAAATATCATAAAATACGATTAGGAGAAAGACATGGTAGAAAGATAATGTGTACGCAGCGTAAGATTTGCTGGGTCACAGATGTCAACCGTCGATTGGATCTAATTGATTATCGTTAGCCACGTGGGGACCCTATACTGTCGGTGAACACACACATGGCCCCACGACACCATCTCGCGTCAAATTCCCATTTGGCCCCCACCCCACGACACGACCTTTTTTACTAATTTAGCCTTTTGTCATCTTTTCAGCTATTCGATTTCGCGGACAAATACAGGGGCAAATATGACAGTAGCATCACCGTGGCCCAGAAGTACTATAGATCCGTCAGTGGATACGCCGTATGTGAACATAATCTCTTCTAATAAGATCTAACGAATCATCTTTAACTAACTTCTTTCGTTCACTCATGTATATTAATTTACATATTTACCCTTGTGTTTAATTTATTTTTTCGATTTTTTTTAGGATGAATTGCTATGGGCAGCTGCTTGGATGTACAAGGCCACAAGCAATAAGTACTACTTGGACTACCTTGGCCGGAACGGCGATGCCCTCGGTGGGACCGGCTGGTCCATGACGGAGTTCGGTTGGGATGTTAAGTACGCCGGCGTTCAGACCCTCGTCGCTAAGGTCAGATAACTGTAAAAATTAAAACGGATGTACAAGAGTAGGATTCTTAATGTATTAATCGGTGAATCTTGTGTGTGCGTTTAAATTAAGATTTTGTATTGTGGTTGGTGTTATGCAGTTCCTAATGGGAGGAAAGGCCGGCAATAATGGGCCGGTGTTCGGAAAGTACCAAGAAAAGGCAGAGTTTTTTATGTGTTCATGCCTTGGTAAGAGTAATCGCAATGTCCAAAGGACTCCCGGAGGCCTCATTTTCCGGCAAAGATGGAACAATTTGCAGTTTGTGACGAGTGCATCCTTCCTCCTTACTGTCTATGCCGACTACCTGACTTCTGCCCGGAGAAACTTACACTGTTCTTCCGGCACCGTCACCCCACCTGAGCTTATAGCATTTGCCAAATCTCAGGTGAACAGATATATATATATATATATATATATATATATATATATATATATATATATATATATATATATATATATATATATATATTGTCAACTTTGACTTGTTAAAGTCAACATACATTAGCATTAGGGTATAATGATTGATCGAATCGAAATCTAAACTTAGCTTTGGTTTTGGATTTTTTGTAGGTGGATTATATTCTTGGAGACAATCCAAGAGCAACAAGTTATATGGTTGGATATGGGAACAACTACCCACGACAAGTACACCACAGAGGTTCATCGATTGTGTCAATTAAGGTTAACCCATCGTTCGTTAGCTGCAGAGGTGGTTATGCTACATGGTACAGCCGAAAAGCAAGCGACCCAAATCTTTTAACAGGCGCCATTGTTGGTGGGCCAGATGCGTATGACAATTTCGCTGATGAAAGAAACAACTTTCAGCAGACTGAGCCTGCCACGTATAACAACGCCCCTCTTATTGGAGTTTTGGCTAGGTTACATGCTGGTCATTCTGGTAATTACAACCAGCTCCTTCCAGGTATACATTTCATTACATTAATTTCTATATTTTACCATTTTCATCTCATTTTCTAAATTCTAATTCAATCTTTAATTTATTTCCATTTATATATATTTTGCAGTTGAAATTCCTCTACGTAAGCCCACTGCTGTTCAACCAAAGCCTACCACACAAGGTAAATCGATCTTGATGTATAATAATCTAACTTGTTTTCCTTAAGTTTATGGTGTGGTGTGACTGAAGGAAGATTCTATTGTATGTTTAGGTTTGATTGGAATTTCACAGAAGACTACAAGTTCATGGGTAGCCAATGGCAAAACGTACTACAGATACTCTGTTATAGTGACTAACAAATCAAGGAAGACAATCAAGAAGCTGAACCTTTCGATTACAAAGCTGTTTGGACCTGTATGGGGTCTCACAAAGAACTCAAACGGTTCATATGGGTTGCCAACATGGGTGAGCTCACTAGCAGCAGGAAAAAGCATCGACTTTGTATACATTCATACAGATTCTCCAGCGGTGGTCTCTGTTTCAAGCTACACAATCGCCTAATTAAAGGCTAAAGAAGAATGAAAACATGTATTCAAAGATTGTTGAGGCATACGAGGAGGTTATCGGTTATCAGAAAAGTCCAATTTTTTGTGATTTTTCTTTTAGGGTTTAAGAATAAGGTCTGAAGAATGGGGGAAGAAAGGAGTGAAGAGACAATTTAAAAAGAAGTGCTCATCCTCTTTCTCCTCCTCCTTCATTAGGTCTTTGACACCAATTGAAGCGGATACAAGATGAAGGCATACTTGTCATCACAAGAGATGAGAAGGATCCTTTTTTTTTTTAAGGTTGTTTTTTTTCTACTTCAAATTAGCTTTGAAGTGTTGCATGGTTCTTGTTTGTGTGTGTGTGTAAATTTGGCAACTTCATTTTATCTTGCAATATGAATATAGATTTTGCAACAACTTGTGTGAGATGTGTTTGTGTTTTATGTGTTTTCCATTTATAAAAATGCTTATTAATTTATTAAGTTATGCGGTGTAAAAAAAATGTTCGAATTAATTTGAGAAAACCCTAAAACAAAACCCAACCTATTATCATCCAATGCTCGAAAAAACCATTATGTTATTTTTTTCTACGATGAAATCATTTTATTTGTTGTTCATGCCTAAAATAATGTCTTGTAACCAGAAAACTCTTAATAGATGGTTACCTAAAATTTGTGACATCAGAATATCCCAACCTATTATCCTCTAATGCTCGAAATGATTACCTAAAATTTGTGACATCAGAAAATCTCAACCTATTATCCTCTAATGCTTGAAAAAATCATTATGTTATTTTTTATACAAAAAAAACCATTTTATTTTCTGATTTTTGTACGATAAAACCCTTTTGTGTTCTGATTTTTTACAATAAAATATTTGATTTACCCCTTTATGTCCCATTTCTTTTTTCTTTTCGAGAACTAATAATTGATAAATATCTCATTTGTCATTATGGTTGCATACTGTTCAATAAGAGAAGTTTTAAAGAAGGTAAAATACAGTTAACTTCCTTGATTTTTTAATTTGGTTATGCTTTATGCTCGTTATGTATCTTGTTTTTATTGTGGTGTAAAATTGTTACTAACAACTGGACATTATATAACGTCGCAAAAATCAGAGTAAATTTTCTATTTTCAAAACATATTTCCAAACCATAAGTCATGCAAAAACATTGTATATCAATACATAGTCATAAAATCAACGTCTCAAAACATCCTCCTGAATCAGGAGGATGTGTACGATCACGCATTCGCCTTTCTCCGCTCATCTGAGAGATTATGAGACGTTGCTTTTATGACTATGTATTGACAGACAATATTTTTGTATGACTTATGGTTTTGAAATATATTTTAAAAATGAAAATTTTACTATGACTTTTGAAACGTTACATAATGTTCAGTTGTTAATAAGAATTTTACACCACAGTGGAAACAAGATACATGATGAGCAGAAAGCATAACTAAATTAAAAATCAAGGAAGGTAACTTTATTTTACCTTTAAAACTTCTCTTATTGGAAAGTGTGCAACAATGACAAACGAGATATTTATCAATTATCATATCTCAAAAAGAAAAAATATAGGACATAAAAGGGTAAATCAAATGTTTTATTTTAAAAAACATAACATAAAAGGGTTTTATCGTACAAAATCAGAAAATAAAATGGTTTTTTTATACAAAAAATAACATAATTGTTTTTTTAGCATTAGAAGCTAATATGTTGGGTTTTTCTAATGTCACAAATTTTAGGTAACCGACTATTCAGAGTTTTCCAGTTACAATGCATTATTTTAGGCATGATCAACAAATAAAATGGTTTTATCATACAAAAAAAATAACTTAGTGGGTTTTTTAGAGCATTGGATGATAGTTGGTTGTGTTTTTCTAGGTTTTCCCAATTAATTTATGCATTTTCAAAATGTAATATTCAAATAACTTGTTTTTAATGCTTAACAAATTTTGTTTATATATGTAAAATGACCATAAACCAATCATTAGATTAGACCATCACGTATATTGGCTACAAGTTGGTTTGTGGTTGACGTGGCCATGGTCGTGGTGGTCGGCCGTTATCATTGCACTTCGTGGTTGGGAAGACGAGCGAGGACGATGAATAGAAATCATTTGGTATTTTTTACTGTTTAACGGTCAAATTTTAAAGAAATATTTTTTTCAAATATTTTTACCTATAAATACGAGACTATACATTCTTATTTCTTACATCATTCTTTTTTTTCTCTATACACAATATACACACAACATTTTTCACAACCAATGGTTCCCAAAATTATGAATTTGTTAGAAAAGAAAAAAAAAAAAACTTAGGACTAACATGAACGGTGGTTTTAGAAGAGTCGCATACTCAAATGTTTGATGATTAGTTTAGGATGTATGAGTGAAGTGATTATGTTTGTATATATATTAGGCAAGGTTAAAATAATCAAACTTTGAAGTAATTCAAAAACTAATCTAAAGAAAGTGGCTTCTAAGATAACAAGATTCGTTTTAACATGTGAATTTGCTTGCGAATTATGTGGTGTTGATTAATAGTAAAATATACAAACAAACTAGAAAGTACTGATACTAAGATTATTCAATAAAATATGGTAATTATACTTTAGTAGAAGCAACACGGCTTGGTTTCACAAATAGTTGTCATGATATATATAGTACATATGAAATTAATAAAAACATTAAAACAAAAAACTAGTATTGATAAGTGTTATATGTCATCTTTATATAGTCGATGTCATATTCATCTTTCTATGACGAGCTTCTAAGTTCCTACAAGGACTCCCCCTTCCGTCTAACAAGCAAAAATAGCAGACATATCTATCACATCAAGAGACTGGTTTGATATGTCAACTATATAATTTAAATTTGTCACAAAAAAGAATATGATGAAATATGGTATTACACATTTATTCAAAAAGGGCTGTATCACAATAAATGCGACCTTGGCTTGCATGCTCACCTCTTCTTGTTCTTCTTTCTTCCCTTGACTTCTTTCTCTAGATTTTTGATCCTATGGCTGAGGACTGATGATGATGAGACTCTTTGAGTAGTCAGCTTTTGTTCATCTGAAGATGGCTTCTGACTGAGAAGTGGAGCTGTAGTTTGGTTAGTGATGGCAGGCTTTGATTCTCCTTGTCTTTGTTGCATTGCTTGAGCAGCTGCATACTTTTTCAAACCCTCAAAGAAAGAGAAAGCTGGCTTTGATTGACTAGCGGGAGATGGTGGTGGAGGTATGATAATTGGTATGTTGAGAAGCTTCTTCACTGAGGGTTTCTTTATTACTGAAACAAGAATAGCATAAAAAAAATCAGATGTTAATTCACAAGAATTGATCAAAGTTAATTAACTTACTTAATCCATATACTAGGGAGAACAAGTTTGAGGTGATCCAATAACAAAAGAGGGCCTGCAAAAGATGTGAAAAGGGTATTTTATAAGAAATATATATATATATATATATATATATATATATATATATATATATATTTTATGGAGGGAAGGGTAGTTTAGTAATTAAGAGAACTAGCCTTTGGGAAACTTGCAGTAAGGGGGACTGTAAGAGCAGCAAAACCCCTTGAAACATTTTTCATTGTGGCAGCAGCAGGGTTACCTTCCAAACCTTCTTGCATGTTAAACTGAACACACCAAATAAAACATGTATCATGTATCAAAAAATTATGATTAGACAGTACCTTGAGACTTGGGGACAGGACATGTGTTATCACAATTATCAATAATAGGTTAAAGGCATTTGGATATTTAATTGTGCTAGAGATATTACTACTTCAATAAATGTCTTTTAATGACCTGAGGCTATGTAGTTTCACTTTCACCTATTATGTTGTTACATGCAATGTTAGTAAAGTGCCAATTGAGGCAATCAACACCATGTCATCACATATGTAAAGATGATTCAGTCATTGAGGATGCCCACAATGAAGCAAAATGGAAGTTATTAAGTTTTGTAATTTGTAGTTTAGAGGAAGGGATTTAAATATTTACCTCTACGGTTATCCAAAATGAAAATGCAGTCAAAAAAGGAAGAATATAGAAAGTATCAGCAGTTGTAAGGTCAAGGAACCAAGAGATGCCACCATGTTGGAAAGATGGGACCTTTTCCACCATGTTCTGAATCTGCAAAACCAAAACCAAATTGTCCAACAAATTAACAAAATTTGCTATCTTTGACATTATTGATGGATATAATGCAAAACCAAGATTCATGGAGTATGACATTTTTAACTTACAGCAAGAAAAAAGCTGACAAAGACAGGGCCTTGGATGAAAAGCCCCTTCAATGGAGTAAATGTACTAACACCATGCCTGCAAAAATATTAAATTTATTATTATAAGCATTGTCTATAATCATGTATGTAACAACTAATATCATGTCATGTCATGCACAACTTATAAAGCTGCTAATGGCTTTACACAATAAGGAACATGGAGAAATGCTTACTCCTTGAATACTTTCTTCATTTTTTCCTGACCTTCAGCTACAGCTGATGGACTCATGCCCTGAAAAGAGTATTTTAATAATGACTTGAAATAAGTAAACAAGTTTCACCTTCTTAAATGGTTAAGTGTGTCTAATTTGATTAGTAGATAATTAATCAACAACTATTATGGGAGCACATGAAGCATAAACATGATGTTTTAAGGGGCCAGTGTTTGTGTTTTTTTTAACTATACAACATTAAGGAAGAAGTTTGATGGACATACCCTATCTTGCATCTCCTGCTTAATCTGCTCCAATTCTGGCCTCAAAATCTGTATGCATGATATGAAAAACTCAATGCCACTTTTAAACAGAATATTGAAAATAAAAAAATAAGTCAATTTTATGAGCAATGACAATCAATTACAGAAAAAAGAAAAGAAAAATGGTGAGTTAATAAAGTGGAATCCAGTCAATTGCACCATCTTGCCACCATAGGTGCAAAGTCAATTAGAAAACGTGAGGTGGAGAGAGTAGAGCTTACAGTTAACTTTGAGGTAGCCTTGAGCTGATTAATCATGATTGGAACTGACAAGGTTCTAATCACAAGAGTTGTTATTACTATGCTCGCCCACCTGAAAGAAGTGGGTTCTTGTTAGTTTGATAATGTGCACAAACACACAACTCTTACAAGATAGGTACGAAATTGAAGTCCATGATCCAAAAGAAGGCGCCCCAAAACAAAGTGGAGCAAGCTTTTACTTCAAACCATAAACTTTGATCCAATCAAATGCAAGGTATGATGGCAGTAGCCTTAACAGAGTCATACAAGTGTATTCCTTCCTTACCAATTCAGTCCCGTGAAGTTATGAATCCCATCAATGGCATACTGCAAAGCTGCAACTGGTAGCCAGGAATCCGCAGCAGCAACAGCAACCTCGCTAAGAACAGGGGCTTGAGTAGACACGACTTCCATGGTTTTATTAGCCAGAACATCGGCCATATCAGCCATGTACTCAATCTTTTCGGTTTCGTCTCCATCTCCAATTGTAGTCGACATATTTCTAGCTAACAAGAACCCACTTGTTGTCATAGGTACTTGAAGAAACTGAGACCATCTTGGATCTCGAAAACTCAAACCGCCACCGCCTCCCCCAAACCCTAGTGAAGTGTTGGAGTTGTTACCGAAGCAACCATATGATCGACTTTGGAGAAAGCTCGTTGCCTTCTCATCTGAATGCGTATTTTTACGATCGTCTTCCTGATGCAGATAAGAAAATGAAGGGGCAAATCGTTGTTGAGCGAAAAGTCTCGCCCTTATAGTGAGACTACGCCTGTAAGCCATTGAATGAATTACCCCTGGATCGAGATTCACAAAAGTTTCGATTCAGATTAAAACGCGAAGTAGATAAACGAGTATAATGCATGAAAATTCTAGAAACGGTATTTAGTCATGAACCTTAAGTGAAACGAAGGAAGAAATTCCCAGTTTTGTTGATGAGAAGGGTTTAGGGTTTAATTTAGGACCAACCCGGCGGGCTGATGTAGTCGTCAGCTCTGTAGTAACTTTTAACCCTGTTCTGTGTTGTTGCTCAAGGTCGGAGTAAGGGTTCATTTACAAGATATGATAAATTACAAACAAGCCCCTCTTCGTGGTGACGTATGCACTACGGTTGACATCAATACAAATGGTTTCTAACCAAACGGTTTTTGATATTTTTTTTCTTTTTTTCTTTGAATAAATACGCTAGATGTGAGATCCATGTAATACACGGGTTTTTTTTAAAAGAAATTTAATATATTTTGTTAAGCATTACATGTTTAATAATTTACAAAACTGAATTTGAAAAGAATATCAATATTAGCTGTGAATAAACTACTTTTTGCAAAGTTTCTGCAAATTATCGTGAATTCAAAATGGATTGTCCGAAAATTATGTTTTTCAATTAAGAAAGTTGATTTGAATTTAATACATTAAGGGACAAATTATGTGAGGATTTATGGAGACATGTAAGTTTCCTTATTTTGTTTATTATATTTTTAGATTAGATTTTTTTATAATTTAATAACAAAATCAAAAAAACCATAATTTGCCAAGTGGATTTAAATGAAATTAAAAAAAATTAAAAAAATAACATGTGGCATATTGAATTAGGTGATAACATTTGGCAAAAAAACCTTCATTTATTAAGAAGAATTTAAATAATAGTTTAAGAGTATATTAGATTTATCTTTAAAAAAACTCAGTCATTTAAATAATAGATTAAGAGTATATTAGATTTGCCATGTAAAAAAAAAAAATCAGTTATTTACGTTATTTGTAGGTTAATCTGTCAGTAGCAATATATACGAGAAGATGACAAATAGGTCAATTTTATTAATATTTTTAAAAAAAATAATTTAAGATTAGCAAATTAATTTAAATATCATAATTTTCACCGGCTAAGAACTACAAATATATAAAATTATAGATGTCAGGGTTTTTTTTTTTTTTTTTTGGAGTTTTTGTAGATGTGCTTATGTGAAAATCTATGTTTTTGCAAGTGTGCAACTGAAAATCTTAGTCTAATTCATCGATACGAGAAGCAAATTATTGTGTGGAGGAATCAATATCTCAACATAACCCAAGAGACAGATCTTGTGCCACTCCACCTTGTCGTATGAAACTGGCATGCATCCTGGCTCCCGAAACTCTTTCATAAAATTCCAACAATTTTTCCCGTTCCTCAAAAGCCCACAGGAACGGAGTTGATGCTCCCACATCCATAGCATGAGTAGTTAAAGCAAGTGAATGATTTGAAATTCGAGTTATTTCACGGAATAACACTCGTATATATTGAGCTCGTAATGGTACCTCGCAATTCAAAAGTCTCTCTACGGCTGAAGAATGAGCGTGTTCTTGGGCCATCGTAGAAACATAGATAGGGTCGACGACGGAACGAAGAACGAAACTTTACGACAGCTTTTTCGTACACGTTCACTTGCATCACATACACAAGTGCTCTCTGAACCGTGCAATAAGGTCATCCATAACACGGCTCTCCCATTTGAGTTATCTTAGCCCCCAGCCATGCTATTCAATAATTTTAGAAAAATGGTTGCGTAAGGTAACAACTAGTATTGAAAGCTGGTCGCCTTTTGAAGCGTTCGCTGGTAACCAAAGCGTCTCGTTCCAGCAACCACTTTGGTACTTTGTTTATAGCTTTTTTAGGTTAACATGTAAAATTCAAAAGCTTTTATTTTCTCCGGAAAAAAACATGTATTGTTATGTTTAGTTGATTCTGAAAATCCATACAATCTAATAAATGGTTATTTTATAAGATATCATTTTTATATATTGATTTTGTTAGAACATGTTTCAACCTTTGTTTGTTTAATTTTGTTATCAAACATTTTCACAATTATTTGTCTGAATTTGTTAGCAAAATTCAAAACCTTATATTTTTTTATTTTGTTAAAAAAAAATATGATTTCAAATATTTCAGATGGGTATTTTATTGTTACTTGTATCGGTTGTTTATGAACGTCAGAAAATAAAAAAAAAAATGTATATATATGCTAGACTGTTTGTTAAAAACGTTTCTGCTGAAATTGGTGAAACAAAAGACAAATTTAGAAAACAAACCTAATATAGTTTGTCTTTATAAACATAGTTGATGAGAGTGATTTGAACCATTTAAAAAATTCTATTCAACAATTTTCAATTTGTGTACATTTGTATCCAGTGGATAATAATCCAGATGAAGAGAAACGTATTGATTAATACAATGTCGTGGATGTGGATTGATATGTTGGTGGTGGTAACTAATTTAAAAGTGGAAGATGCTTCGTTTGAGAAACAATCTAATAATAGAGGTAGTAATAATCAAAAAAAAATATTTATTTCTCCATGCGAATCATTATAATTTTTGTGAATATATTAACAATAATTCACTCCCCAAGTTTTTTTAAGAAAACAAAAAGATAAAAAGTTATAAAAATTTATTGGTAATTTAATATCATCAATATTATTTAAGGGAATTGATAATTCCACAAATTATTTTTTATTCATCCATAGATTTTAAAGGAAAATCACAATTATACCCCTAGTGTAAATAAGAATTTAAAGACATGTGCTTAATAATCTTTTCTAGCCCCGGTTCCCATTTTGTTCATCACAACATGAAATCCTTGTGTTCTTCTTCATTTCTTTTCTTCTTCACTTCCACACATAGAAGGTAGACAACCACAAATGGAATCGTAATAGATAATCTAATGATTAGTGATATTCCAAGTCTTGCCATTATATTTTCCATCGCTGAATATGGGGTCCTTAATGGTGGCGGATCGTGGTTTTCACAAAGCTTTAAATCGGATATTAAAATCCCAAAATATCATCGCTAAAGTTTCTTGGACCTAGATCCCGTTTGGAAATGTATCAGACTTCGCTGCAACAAATGAGTTACTGACGTTTGCATAACCATTTACAAACAACCCCATCGACGAGAACCACTTAATCATTGAATTTTCTCCAGTCAGCAAGAATGTTAATCGATCACCAAAATCTAGGAACGATTTTGAATCGACGGAGGTGGAAAAATCGATGGTGAAAGCTTGTTAACTCACCAGAGAACTTATTATATAGATGAAGTGGTTTGATGTATCGTCTGTCCGATTGTCTGTTCTGATTTGAATCGTTCTCACTTCGTATGACTAGGATTTCGTCATTGATGATATATGCAAAACCTGTTGTGTTTATGTTCATGTACTGGTTTTGTATAAAAAAACCAGATTAAAAGTGATTGAATATGCAACAAGCATGAACAAAGAATGGACGATGAGATACCATTGTGGGAATCTTAATATCCACTAAGCAAGAAAATAGGAAAGAGAACCAAGAAAATAGGAAAGAGAAATTAGGCCTAATTAATTAGACTATTAAATATAAATGAGGGGCATTATTTCACGTTCCCATAAAAATTTGTAGTTGAATAAAAAACAGTTGTGGAAGTATCAGCCTCCATTATTTAATAATAGGATTAAATTCGTTGACCAATAGTGATCTTGTTAAATATTGAACAAGTTAGGATGGTGTAGGAGTGCACACTTGTTCAAGTTTTCAAGATTCAAAGTCAACTATTATTTACGGCGAACCCCCTAAACGAATAGGGGTCCAGGGGCAAAGCCTCTGGCATGGAAATTTGTTATTTGGGTTATGTTTCTATATTAAAAAATGCATCAAAAATCCGATTTTAGAAAATGGACTCATTTTGACAATTTTCTCATAGATCCGCTTTTATGACAGGTTTTGTGGTTTTATGACAGTTTGTAACTGTCTTGTGACATTTTTCAGATAGAAATGATATATAACCATTTTTTGGTCATTTTTTGGTACAATCATTTTCAAGAACATTTCACATACATTCTCTCTAATTTTGTAATCTCTGAATTTCATCCAATTGAGTGTTCTATCTGTACCATCAAAATACTTCAATTTGATAGTGAATCACGACTTTCAGAGAATCCAAACAATCTGTTAATCCTCTATTTCTAACAAAATTAATGGTAAAATGTGATTTGCGTGCCATTATTTTATAATATTTTAATTATATTTTGTTATTAAAATTTAAATTATATTACATTATGTGATACATACAAGTAAAATTATTTAACCCCATCGGGTGGTTGAGGTGGTACATCGACCCCATCAAGAATAACAAGTTACTTAAGGCAACATCCTGATTATTGATCCTATCGTGATGGAGGCGTCGATGAGTTTTTTTTCCATGTTTTCCCTTTATTTATATCATTGCCAATAATCGTAAAAAATAAAATTTAATTTCTTTTTCTTCTAGGTTTTTCTTTTACTTTCTATAAAATGAGTAAATAACCAACAAGCGGTATGAAACAAAAACATCCAACTCAAATGAGAATATGACATCGTCAGATGCACTTTGAGACGTTCGCCTCAACAATGAGGATGACAAAATAACCTCAATGTCTAATTTAGAGCAATAAACGAAAATGACTTCATCGTCAAGTTTATCAGGCTCTAGTGTTGTCATACCCCACTAAAGCGGAAACACGAGGAGTAACAGTACAAAGAGTCTCATAGCAAAAGTTAAAAGACAACACCTATAACATTCCGTTTTAATTTAAATAAAATAACTAAATAAATAATAAGCCCTAAACCTCGAGATGTAAATTATATCATTTTTCTTATGTTATTTTATTATAGCCCTAAATCCGTAATAATTTAGCAAGGCGTTGGTTTTGGGAGTTAAATGTCATAACTTTTGAATATTGGGGGTTCAGTGTAATTTACAGATTGGTTTGTAAAGATTTTCAGAAGTTAGGGGATATTTGGTAAATATTGGAGTCAAGTTGAAAAGCTTATTGTGGAGGAGGACCAAAGATATGTTTGAAAGTGAGGGAGGATTAAACCCAATATCCCTTCCCTTTCCCCCTCCCCCCTTCATTTTGTTGATGCAACCCTAAACCTAGATGCACTTTCAACAGCTGCCACCATGTGGAGCCTTCTCAATTGCCGTCGCCTAGCTGAGTCCGACCGTCACCCTTCCACCTGCTACCTCGCCATTGAAACGCCACCAC